GGTTTTCATTTTCAGTTCCTTTTCCTTATTTATGTATTTTTCCATAAAATTACCTATTTTATTGAAATCTTTCCAGTTTCCCTATTTTACTTACAGTTGTATTCTCTTATTTTATTTCCTTTATTTTATACATTCTTGTTTTCATTTTTCTTTGATGTAGATTTGCTTTTGCCTTGCCTATTTTACTGCTTTTTTCCTCCTATAAAGCATTTTCTTTTGGCTTTTATCTTTATTATTTCCTTCTTTCTACTTCCTTTAGCCTTGTTTTTATGTTGTTGTTTTACTATCTTTCTATGCTGAATATCTTGATTTCTATTTTCATTCTTGTTTTACAACATAGCCATTTAAATGTGCTGAGTTGCTATTCTAGCATTTCAGGGAAACAAAACAACTGGTATTATGTTTTAGGATTAATATGCAAACAAAATAATGTTCTTTGACTTTTTAGAATTTTGTATGGCCGAATGAAGAATAAGACTGGGAGTAAAACTCAGGGGAAATCGGCTTCTGGCACTCGCATGTCCATTGTCCTGAGGTTCCTTGCTGGGACCCAACCTGAGGAGATCCAGATATTCTTAGACCTGCTGTTTGAACCTGTGAAGCACTTCAAAAATGGTACTGCCTGCCACTCTGAATGCATATTGTCTGCTGTGTACTCCTCATGCAGCAGGCTAGATTTCCCAGGCTCTTGGCATCTTTCTACCTGGGGTCACTCCTCCCAGTCTTCATGGTCTTTTTGCTGAAATGCAGTTCATTTTAAACTTTGAATTATGCAGAGCTCACAATAGGTGAGGGGGATTATTAGCATCCAGGTATAAGCAAGCCCCTAATTAGAAACTGAATTTTTGTTGCACATTTAGGCCATTTGAAAAGTGGTACTTGCCCATTACAATGGAGTTTTCTCCCGTAGAAACGTAAAGCATGCTACAGAATTAATCCTACTTATCTTGGCATTTATTCATTCACTGAGTCATTCATCTATTGAGTTCTATTTGTTGAATACCTCCTATACCCTGGACATTCTTGAAAATAGAAACATGACTATTTACTATCTCTGCTCTCAATCTCACAGTCTAAACGAAGTGGTTGTTATAAGTCTGTATAATGAGCTGTAGTGCTTTGTGGTATGTTTTCTGGTATGCAGTGTTAGTAATTAATAATAATGATGATGATAATGGCTAATATTTATGGAGTGCTTACTCTGTGCCAAATATTATGATGGGCCCCTTTACTTATTAACTCATTTGATCCTTAAAATGACCACAAGAAGCATCACTACTTGATTGTTCCCATTTTACAAATAAGAAAACAGGCTTCAAGAGGTAAGTTTTTTGCCCATGGCCACTCAGCTAGGAAATGGTGGAGTTGGAACTTGAATCCATATCCTTCTGACTACAGATCCTCTGCTCCAATGCCAAAATTTATTTGCTTTAGGCAAACATAGATATTTATTTGCATGGTGATGTGTTGCATTTGTTTTGTATTTTTTCTGTAATAACAGATCCAGCTGTTGGAAAAGTTATCATTCAGTGTAATATTGCACTGTGAAGGAAGTTGGTTCTGATGAATACAAAAGATTCTGCAGTGTAGTAGCTTCCATTATAAAAAGGTAGCTTATAAATGGCACTCTTATGGATGGACCATTTATGTGTTTAAAAATCAGTAAGCTCATGTTCCCATACCAATTGGTTTGAAGTAAAGCTTAAGCAATAATAGTTCCAGTCTTTTAAGTAGATTATGAAATCAGTATGTTACCTCTTTAAAGAACTGTTGTTTTATTTATTCACCAGGGACTACAAGAGAAATAAAGCATTTGATTCTCAGCCTTCAGGGAGCTTATAATGTAGAAAGACATTTTCTGTGAAACTGCTGAAGGCAGCATAGTCAGCAAAAGCTATGAGTGAAAAAATGTATGGAAAGTTGCTAGGTGGAATAAAAGACTATTCCAACTCAGGTTTTGAGGAACA